TGTTGTGGGGAAAGCATGCTCAAGTGGGAAGTGAACGACTGTGGCTGTCTGACTGTGGCTGTCTGTGGCGCATGTACACATTTTGCGGTGAGGTCAGAGCGTCTGGAACCTCACGCTGTAAAGACGAGTGACCTTGACACAGTGGGGGGAAGCGGACAGAGGCGCCGGAGCATCCTACTGCTGGTTGCTGGCTACGTATCCGTACTCACGCCACATCAGAGCATTTCTCACTAATAGTAGACCTGACACGCTTGAATCTATCACGACGTACTAAGAGTCTTGGCTCGGAGAATTGCTACCTGATGAGAGTCGGACTGTGATGACTCTTGACTAAGGTGGCCTCTATGGCATTATCACGCACGTGGGATTCGTCCCGCCCTCACCAAAAACTGGTACATGTTGTGGAGACCAGGTCATCATGACATTGTCTTGCCATCGTACTAATGTGGATGAGTGGAGACAGAGGGAGGTAGGTGCTGCGTAGGTCTGCTATCATTTTAAAGTAATTCGCGCGCAAGTCACCGTCTGGGTAGGACGCAGCATGCCACTCCACTCAGGGAACAAAAACTAGGTCAGGAGAGCGCGGTAGTAGATAAATATTCGGATAAATGCATCCTCGCGCTGAGTTTCACTACAACTACTTGAAAAAGAGCGTACTACCAGGAACCCGACCCCCTAGGAATGATGAGGATATCAAGGTATCTGACAGTGTAACCAAAAGCCGAGTAGTACGGCGGACGGGAGAGCGCGGTAGTAGGTAAACATCCGGATAAATGCGTCCCCGTGCTGAATTTCACCACAACTACATTAAGTGGGCTAACTCATAAAATCTCAACGGCAATTCTGAGATGCGTTTACGTTTCGAAAATAATAATAATTAAGTAGGGTTGTAACACTAATCATCATGCAGCATAATTCTATAATAATTCAGTTACCCCAGGATGCCAGCTTTCGAACAAACCTCTTCCTGGTTGCATCTAAAAACCATACTCTGTAAAAATGACTACTTAACTAGCATGCATTTTTTCATTTATTTTCGATGTACTTAAAGGTTTAATTATATTTCATGGAAAACATGCATAAAAATATTCATTCTTTTGCTTATTCGGTAGAAAATTGTGTCTTCTTCTAATTTTATACTCAAAGAAGGGACATAATTCGGTTTTAAAAAACTTTTCCATTTCCCGAATAATTTTGAACCCAACCTGCCGTTACTCTTGCATTCAGGGTTCCCAGACTGTAAGCAGTATAATTTCTGAGCATGGAAAACCATATATTTCTCTACGGTATTAAGAGACCATATGGAGTTCATAAAATTTAGCAGTGAATTTGAGCCACATTGTTAACTCTACAAGCCACATTGGCAAATGCAGAGACATGACGTTTTATGAAGGGCCATTTCACGGTATTAAAAAATCTCATAATTAGAAACTTTTTAAAACCGAATTATACCCTACCTTCGAGTGTAACATTGAAAGAAGACGTAATATTATACTGAAAGGGCAAAAATGAATATTTTTATGCGTATTTTCCAGTAAATATAGTTGAATCTTTCAGGGAATCGAAAATAAATGAAAAAAATGCATGCTAGTGAAGTAGTCATTTTTTACCGAGTATAGTTTTATGCATGCAGCCAGAAAGGAGTTCGTTCGAAAGCCGGCATCCTGGGATAACCGAATTATTATAGAATTATGCTGCACAATGATTAGTTTTACAACTCTACTTAATTAAGCTTTTCGAAACGTAAACGCATTTCGGAATTTCTGTTGACATTTCATGAGATATCTGACAGTGCAACCAAAAGTCCAGTATTTTTCACAGTTCTTTCAGTTTTTTCGCAAAAGAATTAAATTACATTCCGTCTAGCTACGAGAGCGCGGTAGCGCCAATTATAAAAAAAGGCGAGGACACAATATGTCACAATGAATTGATTTTTGTTCCTTGAGTGGGGTCGCATACTGCGTCCTTGGCCAGCGTCCTGTGCCCAGTCTGCGGGACAGACAGTGGACCTCCTCGTTCACGACGATCGAAATCTTAATGGCTGATGAACTTGATCCCTCGTGTTGTGGTTGATGTTTTTGATTGTAACCCGTCCACTGTAAACGACTTCTTGACCGGTAGTTTAAATGGACAGGACTGCGTTCACAGAACATACTGTTTGTACTCATGGTAATTAGGGAGTTCTTGAAAATTATCTCTCGATAGTTTTTAAGGGCTCAGTGAGTGGAGGGGACTCTTCAAGCAGAATGAAAGACTTTCGATTGTAAAGCTCTCACTTATAGTCCCACAGACACATTAGACGAACCCAAACCTTAGCGTGATAGTCAACACACAAAATAGAGAGAATTGTATCTCACGAAAGCTTCAATTGCGAACTAGTACGACAGGCTAAAACCAACGACAACACACACACAACGGGAATTATTGGTTATTTTAAATATCGAACCATCACGAACTTATGTCTAGGATTGACTGCTCAGGGTTTAATATTCGCCTGAGGAGTCGATGTGCTAGGTTCTTGAGTTCTAATCAGAGATCTGGGTTTACCATAGGTGGGCTAACTCATGAAATGTCAACCGACATACGAAATGCGTTTTCGTTTCGAAAAGATTAATTAAGTAGGGTTGTAAAACTAGTCAGACTGCAACATAATTCAATAATCGGTTACCTCAGGATGCCGGCTTTCAAACGAACTTCTTTTTGGCTGTATGCATAAAACTATACTCTGTTAAAAATGACTACTTAAATAGCATGCATTTTTCATTTATTTTCGATGCCCTTAAAGACTCAATTATATTTCATGGAAAACACGCATTAAAAATATTCATTCTTCTACTCATTCGGTAGAACATTACGTCTTTAAAAAATTTCTAATTGTGTGATTTTTTAATACCGTAAAATGGCCCTTCATAAAACGTCATGTCTCTGCATTTACTAATGTGGCTTGTAAAGTTAACAATGTGGGTCAAATCCACTGTTAAATTTTATGAACCCCATATGGTCTCCTCGTAATATCGTAAAGAAATGCGCGGTTTTCCATACGCGGAAATTGTACGGTTTGTAGTTTTGAAACCCTAAATGCAAGTAAAACGGGAGGTCGGGGTTCAAAATTATTCGGGAATTGGAAAAGTTTTCTAAAACCGAATTATACCCTTCCTTCGAGTATCAAATTGGAAGCACGACATTTCAAAACGGTCAAGCAATTTACTGGTCGAATTCTAAGTGACGTTGCCCATCCCTTGCATTCTGATCTTATTTCTGCGAAGTCTTCCCACCCGATGCGCCGCAGCTCCCGACTCATCTCTTGTCGCACATCGGCATATCGAGATTCTGTACTGTCATTCCTGGCGTGCTATCTTACGAGTGAAGAGATAGAAATACAGAAGCTAAGACTTGAGCTGCCCCCATAATAATCGTCCCTTTTATGTTAAAATTTTAACCCTTGAGTAATCTATTAACTTACTTACTGCCCATAGTAAATGGAGCTCATGTTTGCTGAAAATTTTGAATTTATGATTTCAAAATAAAACGAACTCCCCCCTCCCTCTGTTACTCGTTCCTGAAACTCTTTGTCGTCTCCTACGTATGCTACGTCTGATTTGAATGCGTTAAGCGCACTAAACTCTAGCCTGTTGATGTGCATCATGTTTTTCTTAACTTGGTCTGGAAGTTCCGTGAAAGTTCCGTGGTTATTCCACCAAAATTACTGATAATCAGCTCAAACTTCTAAAACCTGCGGAGCCTGATAAACCCCATCCTATTAGCTTACCTCCAAGTTCCTCAGTTACTCTCACACCAAGTTACAAGGATCATACTTAGTCCTCTCAGCAAAGATCTCGATTTTAGTTCCCCCACAGATCCATATTCTCGTGAGCGTCAAATGAAATATACTCTGCACTTCTGCACTTCCATGGCTTTTAAATATGCCCATGTTTGCTATACTCTTCTCACTACCTAGAAAACTGTTAGTTTTGATCAGATAATATTATCTACCAAAATAAGCAGCGTTTTTTAACTGTTGGATTTTTGATAATTGTCGGACGCGGACATTGAGCAGTTCCAACAGCCAGGGCCAGCTTTGTGACAGAACCCATATTCGTGTTCGAGACCGATCGATTCCTGTCAGAAGTGTGTCTACGGGGCGTGTGACTCAGCCCAGCGGCGCGGTGATTACATGACTTGATCGATATTTTGCTTTTCACTAATTGGCTGCACACACTCCCCGCTTTAAAAAGACGGCTGACCGTTGGACGACCGTAACGCACTACAACTTCGATAGAGTTGTTTGAATGAACTGAGGTCACTTTGGCGCGGATCCCGGATGGGTCTGGCGTGATCGTCTGCCAGTGAAGATGACCGGTGTTCTTTCCCCCCTACTGTTGACATCGTTCCCCCGCTCTCGCCGTCCGTTCGGCTCTGGTGTTCCCCATCTTCAGCACACTCCCAGGCCCTTACCGGCAATGGCCGAGAGCGCTGCAATCCCCACTGGTGTCTAGCTGATATGATGTGACCATCTCCCATTCCAAATGGATCATTTGCGCAGTACCTCGTTATTTCTTTATATTCGTCTGTATTTGTTTCCGTAATATAGACGTCATACGCTATAGCAACTTACACGGCCCCGTTTGCGAACAGAAAGTACTGAGGACAGCAACCTCGAAGATTAGATTGCACTCTCTGACTGAATCTGGAGGGAGTGGAGAACGTCAATAACCTGTTAAGGACATTCCGCCTCAATGCTGGCATTTCCAAAAATGTGCCTGAAACAACCGAATGACGACTGGCATGTCTAAATGCAGGAGGACGAGGTCAATACATTTGTCCCGCCCACAGGCAATTGAAGAAGCCAAATTTAGATAATCTGCATTTTCGTTTAATCGAAGATCACTGCCCAAAATGGATGCAGTTACACAGTCATGTTGTAGAAATTGTGGTGAAAATTAAGTTTAAAAATATTGACCTCGTGGACAAACAACTGAATCATCTGCCGTTCATGGGATCTAACTTATCGTCGGCATCGTGGCATCCGCAATCGGCCAGATGGCAGCTAACTGGGGTCTACGTTCAGTGTACCTCCGGATAGCTTTCATGGCCTCCTTGGCTGCAGTTCTTGAGAGGGGATTCTGCCAGGCGGAATCGAGGATACTCAGTAGACGGTGTTCACTTATCTTGAACTCCACCACCTTCAAATGGTCCCAGAAAGTGTACATGAAGGCGATCAAACGTGGCCAATGTCGGGTTATCGAAAGCGAACGTACCTGTGGACCGCGATCGAGGACACAGCGAAGCAGCACCTGTTTCTGGTGACAGTGCAGGATAAATGCCATGACGACAAAGAAGGCCGGAAAACTGTCATCGAAGGCATCCGCTGCCCTTATCAGGGTGGCCATAATGTCATAGATGAGAGGCGGCGAACCCATGTTGCCGATAGCCTTCATCAGCTTATTGTTGCTGACCACGGCGATCAGGGTAATTGCCGCCTCCAGGCGACAGGAGACGAAGACGCTACTGCAGGAGCGCAACAGCTGATCCAGCCAGTTGCCCTGTTGTGCCGCCAAGTGGCAAAGTTGGTTGTGCAACACAGGATTCCTCTTGGAGGTCTCCAGAACCGCTAGCATCTTGAAGCGGATGCAGTGTCCCGGCACGTGTCTGTAGGCGAGCATATCAAAGGCCAGTTGACTGACAGCCATGCCCACCAGGTCCTCGTCCCTCTGCTTCAACCAGGCCTCGTTCGGCAGAGCGCTCATCGCGATCTTGGACATGAGACTGAGCAGACAGGGTTCATCCTTCTCCAACAATTGACCCACCGCCTTGAGCACGTTCTTTGCCTGATCCCGCGGCTGGGGCAGGAAGAGGAGACTGGTGACTGGGCCCATTCCAGCCACCTTCTGCGTCTGATCTATGGTGGGTTTCCGGAGGCGCGGAAGACCCTCGAGTTCGGAGAGACCAAGAGCGGCAGATGAGCATCGGAATGTCGACCTGCGCATAACCCTACTCTGCCTGCTCAAAACCGCGGCTGCGGCAGCCGCGGAGGAGTTGTTGGTCTGTTTTAGGAAGTCGCTGAATATTTCACTCTTTATTACTGACTCACTGGGCAGGTCGGAGTTGATGCGTTCAATGAATGAAGCCTCTGAGAGCTCAGACAGGCTGACTTCGCTGGAGGACTCCTTGGGTTGGCCACCGAGAGTGACGGGAACTATCGTCTGCAGCATGTACCTCTGGTAGTCCTCTCGCAGTTTTTTACAGCGCGGTGCGAGTGTGAAGCGGGCCTCCCGGTTGCGCGTCTTCTTCTGTTCTTGCACCGAGGGCAGGTCGTTGACGCCGGCAACGCAAGGAATCACTTCGCGGTGGGGTGGCAGGTTGGTGTGGCATTTTCTGAGTAGAACAGTGTCCAGACCGGGTGTATTGATAAGTGTGGCCTCCGTGATTGCCTCCACAGTGTCGGAATCGACCCCACCATCGGAGAGGTCGGGAGACTCGTAGTCTGAGTCATTGGAGTGGTCCACGGGGATTTTCTTGATAACTTCACGAGTCAGTCTATGCAACGGTATCGGGCTCTCGGGAACAAACTCCTCTGCGGCCTTTTTCATCATAGCAGTCGCTGAGGGCAGGTGAAATTGACGTCGTTGGCGTTCAAGTTTGCGTGACAGTATGGCATCGGGGTCTTTTGATTGGACCTCGTCTAGCAGGAGGTTCTTCACCAGGGTCTCGGTGATGGAGACGCCTCTTCGTTTGCCGGGTGAAGCAAAAATTTGTGCCTCATCGAAGGCTTCAGTGAAGTCCTCTGTTGAGGCAGCACTGGACCTTGCCGGGACGTTCTGTTTCATCATCCTCTGCCCGGCAGCAGCTGAAAACTGTGGGATGCAAAAACGTTTGTCAAAGCTCAAGAAACGGCTAACATCTGACATTTCGAAAATTAGACCTAGAGTCGTCTTCTCAGCAAGGCCAGCTTTGAGATCCATAAGTCCTCCCTCTCTCATCACTTCATTGGATGTGGTGAAGGAAAATAGCGATAAATAACTGCACCAGAACCGCACCTGCGATACCAGATGTGCCTGATGTAGTTTGAAGCTGACGATTAAGCGGCATCACAGTCCCCTATCAGGGATCTTCAATAGGTAGGTTCCGGAAATATGAGCCCCTCCGGTGATACAGATTGCCGGTAAGAATCGGGCGAAGGACTCCAAGCATATGTGACATACAAAGAATACCTACCGAACTTATTTAGGGGAGTTTTAGTCTGACACGATTGTTTCGGTTTGGTGTTTCATCATACAAGTTTGTGTCGTCCGTTGTAGATGGTCTGGTGCATTATCTACAATCAACTCAGCTCGGAGTGTTGAGAGGAAATCATTGTAGACAGTCTGGCGCATTATCTACAATAAACTCAGCTCAGAGAGCTGAGAAGCGATCGCCGTAAACACATAATGTATATTTTTTATTGTCCTGCTTAGGTTAGTTTGCTATATGTCAATGCACCAAAACGTTTCCGCCCGAAAAACGAATTTACCAATTATCCATACCTATTTTGCCATTCCTCTGTGCGTACATAGGCCCCACCAGTAAAACCCCTATTACTACCTTTCCCGTAAGACAGGCACCTTTGGCTGGTCGTGTGTGTTTGGGATCCTTCACCGATCGTTGCCAGATTGCCTTTCGCAAAATTCCCGGAAGAGTAGATATTCCCGTGTTATTACTCCAACTTCGACGTTAATCCTAACCCCGCCTTAACACCAACCCTAACCTTAACAATAATCCTACCCCCCCCCCTTGGAAATAAGCGCAAGATTTCCCAGCCACTGAGAGTCCCTGTTCCTGCATGCTGTCGTTGAATTTATGCCGCTTCGCTACACCATGACATAAGGCTCTTTATGCAGTGCTTACCATCTCTCCCCGTAAGCCTATGGCACGTGTGTCCGCAAGATCGATTCAGTTCGCTGGGGTGACTCCTGACTACTAGCCAGCTCGACTGGAGCATCGCGTCGTCGCTACGTGGATCGATAGGGAGATCGCCAGCCAATTTTCGGTGTCCGCCTGCGAGTTACAGCTTATCGGGATGGAGTTGGACAACAGCGTCCTGTGGAGTGGCTAACAGAACGAAATCAACCATGATGAGGTGATCGGATTGGTGAGATCAGGGGTCTGAAGTCTGATGCTGTCTCATGCGAGTTTAGTCAGAGACATCTAGACGGAACAGAAACTGCAAATCTTTGCAAACAGGCACTACTCGTGATTAAGCGACGGACGGTAGATCATGCACTTCAACTGATGACGTGAGTAATTATGTGGCAGTTAACTACGAGGCAGCCCAAAAGGGAACGTTCAGTGACTTGGTCAAAGACGACACCTGTTAAGGTTGAGTATTATCAGCTCCTCCCCCTTACCCCCCTGAATTAGGTACTTACCTCGATCCCAATTGCATAAATCGTTCAAGCACTGTAATACGAACTACTTAATAAAAATAAGTAGCAAATACGCGAGCGTAAAGTACAAGTGCCGTCCACAGGGCACTAAGGAAATTTCGTTATCGGCCATACCACCCAGCTCGACTGCAGGAAATTTGATTTAATGCTGTCCACAGGAGAAAGCAATTCTGACCATGGTTTGTATCAATAAGGGAGATTAAGAAGACCCTGCTCTCCAATAGAGCCATGTTTCTCCTAGCCATTTGGTAGCCGACTATCCTCAAGTTTTCTAAGGTTGCTGACAAGTATACGACGGGGTCTGTAACTCCTGCGATGTTTTAGGGAAGCCAGAGAGCTTTCCGACTGCAATACAAAAATACACTATATATATATATATGATGAACAGCGAACAGCTGACTAGCCATTAGAAATAAGGAGGATGCGGCTTGTTTTTTTCTGAGGAACTCAATTACTGCCTTCCCTCGTTCACCAAATTTTGAGGGAGACACAATCACCTATACAGTAGTTATAAACAAATTTTCTTAAATATACCTCTTGAAAGTGAGGTTGAATTTTTACAAACAGCGAAAAGCAATAAAACGACGCGGTCCACTTAAGTAGAAATTTACACAGGTGGCAAAACAGGCGCTTCCGAAAACCAACATGCGACCTTTTACTAAGTAATGTGGAATTACACTCAGTGCTAGTGAACATAGTGACTTTGGTCAAATGATCCCATCCACTTAAGGACATATTACAGCTTTTCGGCCAATGTTCGCTGGGTTCCGAACACACACTTTGCACTCATGATAGTCCAATCATCGCAAGCGAGGATGTCTACCGTATGTCCCATAGAGTGGACGCAGAAGGGTGATTAGGTTTCAGTGGGACAGACTTTCACCGCATCTTCCTCACCCCACCTTTAACTTCTTCCCACACTCGTTTGTAGCAAAACACTGCTAGGTGCAGTGGCTGACGCCTATCACAGACGACCTCTGGTGGTCAGATGTGGTTATGTAGCCCCACCTGATGTAAACAAACCCCAGTCACCTGTAATACGAGACCGGTGGTAATAGAGCTTTTTAATAATGGGGTCGGGGAACGCACGGGCGACGAGGTCAAGGAATTGTATGCAGAAGAAAAGCTATTAGGAATGCGCGGTTGTAATGTGAGTGGTTGAGAACTAATTGTCCTAGCCCCATACCCTAAACCCTAACCCCAGCACCAACAGTATTCTGTCCATCAGGTGTGGCTACCAAACCACATCTCACCGATCTCTGGTCCCACAACGAATACCAAACTTTCATGGGATGGCTTGGATCACACACCAGTGAGTGCCATAAAGCCCTCATTAAAAAAGCCGTTGCAACTCGACTCCCATCCCTTAGAAGGATCGAATAATCCCGTCAGCTGGCAGTCTTCTACGTCACGAATCTTAATTCCTGAAGTCGACTATTTGCCCAGTTTGGCTTAATTATCATGAATGTTATTACCGACAAAGACAAGGGAGACTGGAATAGCCATTCCTGGCTTATTAGCCGTCGTCAGCCAGTCATACCCAACCCCGAAGTGTGGCACACCCGAAGCTCGAACTCGCGAACTGTTTGTTAGAAGTCCACGCCTCTAACCACTGGGCCACGAGCCCGTTGTGATGTCGATTTCGATCGGGAATATACAATGATAGGGGACGCTCACCGATCGTTCTTACAGAACTTACTTGTTCCGTTGTGCCTTACAGGCTCTCTCTCTCGAGCCCAACCAGCAGCCGCACAGCGGCGCATGATATAGGCAGGATGTTATTACCGACAGCCGCTGTGCGGCTGCTGGTTGGGCTCGAGAGAGAGCCCGTAAGACACGACGGAGCGAGTGAGTTCAATAAGACCGATCGGTGAGCGCCTCCTGCCATTAGTTATCACGAGCGGTAAATGTCTCAGACAAAAAAATATACGCTTGTTTACCCGGAATTTACTTGATTGAGCCTGAGTCTTCCTGGCTGAATCACTGGAGCCGACAGATCCAGTCTCGGCTGCCACATCTAATCGCATTCTTGTCTTTCTGCCAGAACTTATTCTCAGATAGCGCTGAATTGGTTCCACTGCCAGTAGTTCGGGCTCCACCTCAAATCGACTGGAAACTAACCAGAACTCTGCATGCTTCGCCTTTCGATCGCGACGACCGTTGATGCTCTTAACAGCTGGCGCCGGAAGCCAGCTGCCGCGAGAGCGCAGATCCTCCAGCTGTTCTCTCACTTTCTTCCACATGTAGGCCAGCCCACCGCAGCTCACAGGCACTCGGTGAACCCCCAACTCCTGGCCTAGGTAGTCGCACACAATGGAGGTGAAGAGAGTGCTGATTAGACCAAGACGTTCCTCGGGGGTAAGAGGTTTGTCCTCCGTTCTGACTGACAGGAGGCTGCTGCCATGGCGCGACGGCATGTGGACTGACAGTCCTGTCGGGTGGGAAGTAAAAGGCAGAATCAGCTTCAGGCAAGGGGGAGGGTCAAAAGACTACTAATAGGTTAATCAGTAGGATAGAGTTATCGTATAGTGGATTAACTGGCGATCTTGAATCCTGTCGGGGGATGGGTCAAGGTTGCCGTCCAGACTCGGGTTCGGATGGGGCTGGCTGATGAGGGCTGGCGAGCCAGAAATGGTCGTCACCCTGGTTTCCCTTATTATTGTCGGGGCTCCCTTCAGCATATATTCCTGATCGTTCTGCGACTGCCTAGGAGACATCTACAGCGCGTGACCGATCTCATGAAATGTCGACCGAAATTCGGAAATGCGTTTTCGATTAGGAAGAATTACTTTGATGTGGTTGTAATAGTGATCTACATGCAGCATAATCGTATAATATTTCGGACTCGTCTGGATGCTTGCTTTTAAATGCACGTCTTTCCGACCTCCTACAGAAATTGCACTCACTAAAAAATGGCTACTTATGTAGCATGCATTCTTTACTTTGATTTTCGGCGGTCTTATAAATTCAAATATAGTTCATAGAAAATATGCACAAAAATGTGCTTTCTTTTACTCGTTTGGTAGAAAATCGCATTGTGCTCACATTTTATACCCGAAGAAAATGTATATCTATGTTTTGAAAAAGTTTCCTAAGTTCCGGATAATTTCGAGCCTGTTCAGGCGTTGCATTAACGTTTTGCGATTTCAGTCTGCAAGGTGTACACTTTCAGCGTCAGGAAGATAATATATTCCTCCATGTCTTTAAGGAGTTCATACAAACATACTTTGTAGAAAACGAGCACAAAATATGCTTGTTTTTACTCATTTGGAAGAAAATCTTATTGTCTTTATATTTTATGCCCAAAGAAAGTGTGTCTTTAAGTTTTTTTTAACAGTTTTTCAGTTCTCGAATATTTTTCAGCCTGATCTGCCATTGCATCAGCGTTTAGCGATTTAAGTCTACAAGATGCACCCTTTCCGCGTAAGGAAAATCACATATTCCTCTTTGCCTTTAAGAAAATGCCACATTGAGTGCATTAAATTCTTCAATGGATCGGGAATGTGTTGTACATTCCATGGGGAGCATTAGTAAACGGACATTTGTGGTACTGCATATATGGCATCGCACGGTCTTAAAAATCTCATAATTAGAAACTTTTTTCAAACCGAAAGATAAACTTTCTAAGGGTATAAAATGTGAAAAAATATGATTTTCTACCAAGCGAATAAAAGAAAGCATATTTTTGTGCGCGTTTTCAACAAAAAATATTTGAATTTTTAAGAACGCTGAAAATCAATGCATGCACTTCTTCCTGACCTCCTGTAGAAACCCCACTTGGCAAAGAATGACTACTTATGTAGCATGCATTTTTATGGTGATTTCCAATGATCTTATAAATTCAAATATATTTGAAGCATTTTGTCCCCGGTACGAAGCTGAAGTAGGCAAGAACGCCAGGATTTATTGGTACCAAAAATTTCGCGACGGCTCCTCAGTTGCGTCCTGTCGCTTCATAAGAGAGGTAATGAGTGAGAAGAATACAACAGATTTGAATTCGTGCAGAAAATCAATGCAGAAATAGCAAGGTCAGGGTTTTGGGCAAAGCTGGCTAATCGATAAAGTTAGTAACACAAACACCGTAGGGGAAGAAAGTGAAAAAAGGGGAACGTTAAAGAGCAAAAATGAGAGGAGAGAGGGGGAATCATGGAGCTAGAGGCTACCATGGCAATGTTAGGTTAACCACGCGTTCCAATTGTTTACAAAGATCAGGACACAGATTCAGGCCGAAATGGCTCTTGAACGTGGTCTTAATGACAACCACATTCAGATGGGATCTAAGGCATCGCTTTCGGTTTTGGGAAACCCCGACACACTGCGCGTAGATCCTTGCCGTGCGTGGAATGCGTACACAACGCAGAACGCGACGAGTGAACGGTGGGTGCTGCATTTCCCCTATTGCTTTTTTCTTCTTCCATCTTACTTCACTCATACTTGCGTTCGCTGAAGCCGAGGACGATCAGACCCATACACTTACTCCGGCTCTCCTTCAACCAGTTTCGCGCACTTCGCTACTTCTCCTCCACGGTGGTGGAACGCCACATCTAGGTACAGCCCATCCTCTCGTCAGCAGAAAATGTTAACGGGCCGCACTAGAGACTCCGACTGGGGGAGACTACGAAAGTGACACTTTCACGGGGTAAATCGGATACTGATCTGCACAGGTGTAAGCGCATATCAAGCTGCTGGAATTGTCAAAGCGAGGGGGCCCCAAGAAAGGCTGTAGAAATTGCCAGGAGCCGATCACCTGCCAGGTCGGAATAGGACTGACAAGGACACGCGGACACTGAGACAGCAACTGTTTCTGCTTTAGCTGTTTCCTCCTCAGTTAACCATACACACACGAACGGC